GCAGATGCCTCATTCAGCATCTCAGGCTTCGAGTCTAGAGGTGTGCTGTCTGACGCGGCAAGCTCAAGCTCAGTTCTAATGCGTCTGGTGTGGGTCGCGCGTCTTGGATGCTTTGACCTTTCTGTTGTGGTGCCTGCGGTGACCTCTCAGGTGGCTGCTTGGAAACAGGTGTCAGACAGACTCCTTCACAGACTGGTCAGTTACCTCGCCTCTACATTGCGCACGCGCAAGTGCATGGACCCCCCCCCGGAGCTGTACGGCGACGCAGACCTAGTTGATGCCTTCCACAGCTAAATGTTCTATTACTGAGGCTGAAACAGTTGCCTTAGCAGAAGGAAATTACGAAGAAGCTTCGATTGCCATCAATTTGCTAGGGGTCATTCTTGGTTTCATTTTTTGTTTTCTGAAGTGAAGTGCTGCAACCCTGATAAAAACATCATTTGTTGACGTTCAATTCCAGCATCGAAGACCTAAACGTTTGAAAGAGATGCTTGAGTAAACCTGGTAAAGTAAATACTCAAGTAAAACTGCTCCAGCAAAGAATGTGCTCAAGAAAACCTGTGTTCAAGTTGATGCTCAAGCAAATTGTCCCTACTGAGTTACTGAATGCCCCGATCAATTCGAAAGCATGGCGAAAATCGTCTGGGATGCTGCAACTCAATGTTTTGCATCTAAAGGCCAGTGCTGCTTGCTACCATAAGCCAAGTGTTGAGCCCTGGAATTTTCATTTGCATTGGCGCGCAACCTTGCTGTCCGAGAAATGCACCTATTGTCACTCTACTCTAGCATTTTTCTGAAGCTTTGCAACCTTTTCCTTCCTCAAGCATTAGCATTGACCCTTCTGAGCATTCCATCTTATTTGCACGTGAACCACACGCGTCACTAGTTATGTATGACTGATAGTCTTTTGTGGTTGATACCATGTGAGATTGGAAAAACAACGTTTGGAAAAGCAGCAGACAGCTTTGTGTTGAAACGTAGAAACATTTGATGTGTTTTTGATGACATCCCGATGATGTGTGATGATTTTTGATCTTGATGCCCTTTTGATGTAGTTTGTAGTGCTTTTGCAAGGTGCAGTAGAGAAAGTGTATACACTTCTTTAAGTGTATACATCTTAAACATGTACATAAGTACATCAGAAGTGCGTCAGAATATCATCAAGTGTTCATCATTTTTGTTTATCAAAGTTTCGCCAACTACGTCAAAAGTGTATCAAACTTTCATCCATAATTCATCAAACTTTCATCAACGACATCAAAAGTGCATCAAAGTCATTAAAAGCTCAATTGCTCATCAAATGTTCAACTTTTCTTCACATGTTCAGCGCCTGTTCATTTGCCGATAATGATTGTTTAGGTCTTCTAGGTTTAATGTGCGTTCATATGTCTTGTGCATTTACACGTCCATTCCTGTGTCATCTGTGACATGCGCGGGACTTTCACAGGAATGCTTTTATCAAAGAAAGTTTGCGTGCAAGTGCGTTTGCGTGACTCCGTGCTTTTGGGGGAAGGAAAACCTGCTGGTGTAAACGCGGCGTGTCATGGTGGATAGACAGGGTGGACAGAGGTTGGCAGTTACGGTTGTCTTTGGAACCTAAATAGAAAATTACCCCAAAGTCGGCCATGTTGACAGTTTAGTAGCGGCTTTAAAGGGCGGTAATCTAAAAGTATAAACCGTATTTAGGGGGTTCCGACATGACATTTTTTTAATTGGGGTCCGTTTTTAAATGGTAACTCGGGATTACAATGTGCTGACTGTACAACATGAGTACAGCTGTACTTTTGCTGTCGGGGGCCCCCGCCGGGCCCGCCCGAGTGTGGCAGCAATTAACACAGGTGACCGCCTTCAGCAATCGCAAAGAGAATCAGATGGCTTCAAGTGTTTTCCATCCTGATGGGAACAAGCACGGTTTTTGATTTAATTTGTGGTTTTGCCTTTGGGGGCGGCCTACGAATTTTTTTTTTACGCTGTGATATTTGATAGCAACCTTTTTCACAACCCGAGCGCTTCTACCACCTCCCCGCTCAAGGTGACCAAGAACTCACGGCCAGCTTCACCAGAGGTGGGGAAAGTTACGGATTTACAAAGGTTTTTCCTGAGATCCACCGGGGATGTTCACGGTCGTCATTTGGGGATGGGTCTTTGATACCTTGGAACACTGAAAGTCACCTTCAAAGTAGGTCATTTGGTTGATTTTGTGGTAGGTTTGATCCACAGCCACTGAGTCACTTCCTCCGATTTTTTTCGATCAATTAGAGACGAACACCGGTGGTCCTGGCAGTTCCTAGTAAAAGGGTTTGTTGTTTCATGGAATGAGGTCATCAAAACGAAAATTCTTAGCGCCAAACAATACTGGGAGCAGGCTGCTTGGTGCTGTTTGATGTGTTGTTTGTGAACTGCAAATTGACTTGTAATGGTGTTGAGTGATATGTTTTCTTAATATTCCTAATGAAGAGGAACGTTTGATTTGTTGGAACATCAGGTGGTAGGACACCACAACCACAGCTATATATATATATAAAGGACCGAGCCCCTCAAACACCTCCAAACTACGTCAAGTCATGGAATCCACTGAATCCATGGACTTGACCCGTAGGTTGTGGTCACTAGCAAACTCCCAGCAAGAATAGCATGTCCCTCAGCATCCCTCATTGTGGATATGTGTGCAGGATCTAGGTTTATCTCCAAAATTCCTCCGGTTTTTCCGTGTTTTGCCTTGCTGTGAGCGCTGGCCATTCATTTCAGGCATCCCAACCCCGAGATGTTTCTATGGGTCGGAGTGCTGCGTCTGCCTGGCGGCTCAGGACCGTCGCCTCGTCGCTTCGGGTCCAGTCTGACCCAGAAGAACTTGGTTCTTGAAAACCTCATTGACTATAGTGTGTGCATGTGTGTGTGCGTTTTTCATTGTTAACTATGACCAAGACCGGTGAGGTTGTCATTGTTAACTAAGACCGGTGCGTTTGAACTCATCTGATGTTCAGCAACAGCAGCAATCGTACCTCCACTCATCACAATCTTGAAAGCGGGGCTCCTCACACCCGTGGTCATCGAAAATAGACCGAAAGTATAAAGTCAGAGAGCATGTCATCATAATCAACCGTTGTATGTAGTAGTGTCCCTTCATGCAACGGATTACAGTCCCTGGAAGCCCGTGGCCATGCAAAAACACAAATTATGTATAAATAGCATGAATATCCCAGCAAGAGACCCCAAACAGTGTTTTGAGGTCTATAGGGTTCCAATTCAAGAAAACCTAGCGAAGAAGTATAGTGTCTGGAACCTCCACCCAGTCTTTTCCGCCGAAGCGGCGAGCGGTCTCGGAGCGCTCGCTCGCCCGAGCCTCGCAGAGAGGGTCTTTTTCGTTTCGTTCGCAGTCGCCTGAGTAGGTGGCATGGTGACTCCACAGCGCCCCAGAGGCATCCAAAAAGGTGACTCCCAAAAGTGATGCCTTCTTTTTGGGAGGGGCTGGGTTCAACATGGGAGCCAAGGGTACTGGGAGTAAATGATGAGCAGTATGGAACGTGCTCCACTTGGTGTTAAAATTGTAAACCGGAATGCGCCTCTAGTTCTAGTGAAACTCCATGGATTTCGTCATGACGTGTTGTTCATGAGTGATTTTCGAAGATCTATGAATGAGTCTTGGATGATCTATGAGACGTCAATCTAGGGTTCATGATGATCTGCATCGAGTCGAGTTTGGCTTGCCTTTCACCTGGGCAAGCTGCAGCGTTCAACAAGAACGTCCACAGCTCCCCTCATCTCCTCTCAGAACCGAGGCGGGCGCTTCGTCTTCTGCGCCTGCGCGTCGCCCACAAGGACCACAGGGCTCGCAGGCTGGGGAGCTGGGACTCAGGTTGGGCATCACTTGGTGAGGGACCCAGATCCCATTTGTTCACCTTCAAGCAAATATTAGGTGAAGGGAATCCAACTTGCTGACGGACCCAAGTTCACTTGAAAACGTTTCAATTTGGATTTGGCAGAAATTCGGCAGAGACTTCACATCTGGGCAATGACTGGGCATCGTAAAGCGAAAGAGGCTCCACGCTGCAGATGTTTTTGATAGAGGGGCGGTCCGAGAGAATGGTTCGATGAGATGGGTCTTTTGGGAGGTCAGCAAGCTTATGTTTGATGGGTGAACAAGAGCTGTTTTTTTTCATCGCTGTCCTCCCTCCAACAAGACCAGGAGTTTGGTGGTGAGGATGAATTATCAATCACGCGGAAAAGGACATGCCATTTAGCTTTCACGTGTTTATTGGAGAAGAGGGTAGATGTTGGAGCAAGATGTACTAGATAGCGTGACCTGGAAGCGTCTTCTTGGACAGCACTTCCAAGCACGACTCACGTGGGTCGTTGATCCAAATTCCGGGGAGTAGGATGCTACTCACGTGGCCACATGGAGGGTAAAGGATGCTACTCACCGATGCTCACCATCATTCTCCGTGAACGAACCGAGTGCTGCCGGAATCCAGTTTCCACGGAAGCTTCCACGGCGTAGTTTTTTTTGGCTGGGAAAGAAGCTTTTTGCCCCCGGCATGAAGTGCTGGACTTATATAAGTAAAACACATGCGACATCAATGTTCGAAAAGCGTCATTGGGCACCGTGAGTAGCCATATATCCCAAACTATCCCAGACCCTTCAACCGGCTTAGAATCAAGACTGTCAAACCTTTCGGTGGATCCCTGTGTGATGGCCGTGCTTTGAAGTTGGATGCTACAGTGACCAGCCACTGGGGCTTGTGCTTACCACCTGCAAATCTTTGAGCTGACTATCATACCTCAGAGCCATAACTCCACTTACGACGTGCAACTCACTCACTATTTGGTACCTACTCCTCCACACCCTCTACCTACCACCCACCAACCACCTGACCTACCACCTGACCCTTTCCACCCACCACATGACCTACCCAGCACCCACCCACTACCTTTGCCACCTGGAACCAGTGCCAACACCAACCCTGCATAGCATGTCGTATCCAACGCCACTGCCAGTATGTGTTGCCATGTACCCTTTCGTTTGTGCCGGCCATGGCCTTACTCCGAGCGCGTCGGCTGCATTTCTGGACAGCGCTGCTGCTGGCACCGGTCGGCGAGGTGCCAGCTTCTTGAGGGCTTCCAAGGGTATGGAGCCCAACGAAACCTTAGATGTTTGTGACGTTTTGTTGCTTTTGGTTTTGTGTTTGTTGGTGTCTTGTGCTTTGGTTTGGTTGTTTGTTTGTTGACCCAGATACGTTATCTCAGCCAGTTTTTTGACCCCTTGGTTTGCCAGAAACAACAGGCAAAGTGGCGCTTTCAGTAACCTTTACAACAATGGAGGCAGTTTGTTTTGGATACTGTAAGTGATACTGTATTGTAACATGTTTTTCTCTAACAAACAATATCACTATGGTCAATATTTATCTCCCTTGACCGAGAGTTGCTCAACTGTGTCTTTTGTTTTGGGACAATACAATCATACAAAATTACATCATCATTGCCATTAGGGTGGTTGAAAAAGGGGGTGAGTGTGGGTATAATATGCCATACATTGCCATGCATGGATATATACCCCCTCCAACAAACATGGAAGCTGACCAGGCCCCCCTTTTTGCAGGAACATGGTCTTCCAGGGGCCTACGTTCCACTTCCATGATTGTTTCATATATATATATATATTAGCATAAACAAAAACTATTCCCTATATATTTATATCTACATGTTATAATAACAACCATTACTTGTTTTAGTACTATCATGCCTACTCTTCCAGCCCTTGATCATGACCTCTCTCAGTCGCTCGAGCTGACCGACTACGACTGCCGCCGCGTCCCCGATGGAGTGGTTGCATGGTCCACCTGGCGCGCAGCGCTGGTTGAGAGTGCAGGGAGGCTTGGAGAAGAGATCTTGGAATGGTCGAATCAAGTGAAATATCACGACCACCAGGTGGTTTGTAGGTTTGTATCATGAAGTGAGGTTTTTCCATGTGGTGAATGATTTTCTTGGCCACCTGGCAGTTTCTTGCCAACTCCATCCAAATCTCATATGTCTCGAGTCTCGTGCAAAGCTGCTCATCCTTGTTTCTCAAAATGTCATGAGTCCGGTCCAATCTGGTGGTCAAAGGCGAATGACACGTCGATGAGTGACACATCTCCATAGGTCCATGCACAGACCGTTCGGGCTCCTGTGCAATGCAAACCTCGGCTTGGACGTGCCAACCTCGCACTTGTGCGGGCGCGCGGTTTGGTGGCTTGAGGCTTTGGGAGGGAAACCGAGTTCTACTGTTGAACTTTGGATGAACGATAGAGGTGTGCGGGAACCACGTGGAAATACTGAGACAAGGACAGAGACTGGGCGACCTGTTTCACTCATCACCGGCTACACACCGGTCCAGTGTTCACTTCTTTGGATTGCACGGTCTACCGGAGGTGATGATATATGATTTGTTCAATGATTCCATTGGGTAGATGGACCCAGTGAGGATGAGGACCCCCTGCAAACCAAGACTGGTGCTGTTCGCTGGAAGATGGACGGGTGACATCCGAAGAGTTCGGCAAAGATCGCCTGGAATCATCTTTGAGTCATCCTGAAACTGAAAAAGTGGCCAATGAGTCTTTGAGTCATCCTTGAATCATCTTTGAGTCAACATATGTAGCCCAATATTTTGTTTGCCACCATTGCATGTCCTATGATGATGCATGAGCCATGTGGGCCAGCATTGGCCCAGCAGTGGCACCGTATGAATCGATGAGGAACTGGCTCCGGAGCTCGCGCGAAGTGCTGGCACAGCTGGGTGATGAGCAGCGAGATCGGGCGATGGAGGTTGGGGACTAGAGGTGGAGGGTATGGGAGGGTGTGTTTTATGATTCATGAAAACCAATGAAAGCCTGTCAGGGCCTTTCAGATGGTTTCGCGCGCTTTCAGATGGTTTCCCTTCCTTGTGGGGATGATTCCCGGGTGTAGAAGACCATCTCAGCTTGGGAACGCCACGGTGGTTGACGTGGCCACCGGTGCGTGCATCTGGTGCCACGGTGGAGCAACGCCACCGGACTGGAGGAGTTGTGTTTGTCCACCCAGATCCATCGATGCCCAGACGGCTCCTGGACTCCGAATGGGCGGATTGAGTCATTGAAACTGTTCAATCTGGGCGGAATCCCAGTTGATTGGGTCATTGAAACTGAGTGAATTGTTCCTCATGGGATGTGTTGAAAACCAGCAGCTCCCAGCCGCGCCCAGCTGTTTCCGCGCCCATTAAAACCCCGGCGCTGTTTGCCGGCTCCAGGAGTGTCCTTTGGGCATGCTGATGGCCGACATCTTGCGGATGTTGGCATGCTTCGATCGACAGGAGTTTCCACCGCTCTCTCTGGTGGTGGTGCTGGGTGATGCGGGTCAGGTCTGGGGGCCCCGGTAGGTGAAGCCTGGGAACGCATCCTTTGTTTCGTTGGGAAGGCTGGGCTCAAGGAGATTGGGCGCGTTTTCTGGGGAAGCTTCTGAGTTGCAAGGGTTGTGGCAGGTGAAGGGACGAGCAATGGGCTACAATTGTGTGGCGGACACAAGGCCCGGTGTTGCCAATAGTTGAATGTGCCTTTCACTAGAAATGGCCTCCAACCCAATAGCTTCTTGCTACTAGACTTCTTGTCATGCCACTGCACTTTCTGGAACGATGAACCTTTGTCCTCCTAAACGCTCAAAAAGACACGGTCATCCCCGGCATCATCGACCTCGTGCAGGATGCCTGCTCGGCCAAGTTTGAGCCGGTGGTCCGAGAGGGGCTGAGCCACTTCGGCCTTAGGATCTTGATGGGCACCACTTGGCCGACCCTGGGCCAATATATGCTTCTGGGGAGTAGAGAGAAGCTACTAGGTGGAGGCCATTACTACTAGGTGGAGGCTACTAGGTTGGACAGTCAGTGTCAGCAGGTGGTAGCAGGTAGTAACAAGAAGCTACTAGCCACTGGGAAGATTTACCAAGTGACCTGATCATGAGAATATTACTGTTTTTTGGTTTCAAGCTACTTCCGGTCTTGAGAAGCTTGGACACTGCAATTCAGATGTTTGGATTTTGTGGTGGACAATTTTGTTTGATTTTGCTTGCTTGTTTGGAATAGATGCCTGTCTCCACAATGGTCTTCGCATGTTTCTCTTTTATTGCCCTCATCCGGAGGTTGTTTTTGGTTGCTCAAGCTAGGACACGGTCCAGGTGGCGCAGGTCAGGCTGTATCCTCCGACAAGTGGCCATGAGTTTGTATAGGACTGATTGTATACAACTTCACCCTCCAAGTGTTAAGTTGGTGACAACGGAGTGCCATTTAATTTAGGTTTTTTTTTTGTTTTTTTTTTGATTTTTTGTTGGTTTTCGTGGCTTCTGTGGCTTTCGTGGCTTCTGTGGCTTCTGTGGCTTTCGTGGCTTCTGTGGCTTCTGTGGCTTCGTGGCTTTCGTGGCTTCTGTGGCTTTTGGCTTTTGTGGCTTTCGTGGCTTCTGTGGCTTCTGTGGCTTCGTGGCTTTCGTGGCTTTCGTGGTTTCTGTGGCTTCTGTGGCTTCTGGCTTTTGTGGCTTTCGTGGCTTCTGTGGCTTTTGTGGCTTTTGGCTTTTGTGGCTGTTTGCTACTAGTCCATATTTGTCTATATCTATCCGTCTATATCTATCTGTTTGTCTGTCTATCTGTCTGTTGTGTTGTGCTTTTCCTTTTATTCGCTTTGCAGAGAAGAACCCAAACAAGGAAGCAAGCAAGCAAGCAAGCAAGCAAGAGCTGCTCACCTTTGGATCTGGTGTGCTGCTGGGGGGGGGGGCTCCCCCCCCCCCCCCAACCCCCCCCGCCCCACGAAATCTGCACTTCATCTCGGCCACCCGCGCCTGCCACGAAACCTTTCTCTTTGCTTTTCTGCTAACTGCACCAAACTGTTGTGATAGTCTGACACCTACACTATTCCAATGCAAATCTGTCTACCTATCCATTTGTCTGTCTATATCTATTTATCTATCTCTCGATCTATCTATCTTTCTATCTGTCTTTCTTTCCTATCTATCTATCTATCTATCTATTTGCACCTCAACATCCACAAAGTCCTTCACCTGCAACGAAATCGAAATCGGCACTTCAAGGCCCGCAAAGCACTGCACCTGCCACGAAATCTGCACTTCAAGGTCTACAAAGTCCTGCGCCTGCCACGAAATCTGCACTCCAA